GAGGCTCGAATTGCTTGTGGTTATTATGCGACTACTCTTCGTCCTGGTGAGAAAGATGGGGGCGATGAGGATGTTATAGATTGCCTCGAGGACAATGCCTGATATGATCCCATATACCCTTTGGGGGAGGATGGAGAGGGTGTTGAGGGCCGAGACGATGAGGGTATCAGTGGTCAGGGTGGTGATGTCGTTGAAGACCAAGCTGGCGAGGGCACTAAAGGCCGTAATGGAAATGACCAGTAGTTTGCTTTTTGACTTTATGTGTATTTTTGTCGGCTTCTTCAAGAGCCTTTGTAAACAATCTAAGTATGAAATATCAAAGTTTTTCCTTGCATCTTCTTCCATTCCTGTGGTTTATTTTTTGTACTTGTATATTTTTTGCTTTTGTTGTTTGCTCGTTTCTCTTTTTGTCCTTCTTATCGTTGTTGTCTTTTAGCTGGTCGTGGCCATGGAGCAATATTCATGGGATATGTCAACCCCTTGTTTATATAGGTCGAGTGCATTTCTTCATTGAGATTTGGCCGAGGGCCGATAGGTGTTTGTTCGAGCGAGGTCGAACATAACCTTTTCATATTTATGGCCGAGGGCCGATAAATGTTTGTTCGAACTTGGTTGAACATAACCTTTTGTTAAATTGCGGTCGAGGGACGGTAGGTGTTTGTTCAAGCTTAGTCGAACATAACTTTTCATTAAATCGTGGCCGAGGGCCGGTAGGTGTTTGTTCGAGCTTAGTCGAACATAACCTCTCGTTAAATAGCGGCTGATGGCCGGTAGGTGTTTGTTCAAGCTTAGTCGAACATAACTTTTCATTAAATCGTGGCCGAGGGCCGGTAGGTGTTTGTTCGAGCTTAGTCGAATATAACCTTTCATTAAATCACGGTCGAGGGCTGGTAGGTGTTTGCTCGAGCTTAGTCGAACATATCCTTTCGTTAAATCGCGGCTGAGGGCCGATAGGTGTTTGTTTGAGCTTAGTCGAGCATAACCTTTCATTAAATTGCGGCTGAGGGCCGGTAGGTGTTTGTTCGAGCTTAGTCGAACATAACCTTTCATTAAATCGAGGTCGAGGGTCGGTAGGTGTTGTTCGAGCGGGGTCGAACATAACCTTAATACGAAAAAGTGTCCTGATAAACATAAGTTTCTTATTACTTCGACATTGTTGCTTTGGTTACATACTTGGAGAAAGTTACAGATTTTGGGTGTTGGCTGGTGTTCCAGTCCCAGTCTACCTGGTCCCTTCATTGTTTGGCTTGGAGATTATTGAGGAGTTAAGTAATGAATGAGTAACAACAGTCCCTCCCTCGTGTACTTCGACTCGATGTGTTCCCTTTGTCACAACGTTAAAAACCTCATTGAGAAAACCCAAATGGGACAAAACTCAAGTGAGGAAAAAAGAGTACGACTTGGGGACACTTCTTCTCTTAGGAGTTGAAGTATTTGAGGTGGCTGATGTTCCAATTGTTTGGTAGTTGCTTTCCTTCCATTGTCTCTAGTTGGAATGAACCCTTGTTCTCTTTGCCTGTGTTTTTGTACGGACCATTCCAGTTTGTTCCCAGCTTGCCTTCCCGGGGGTCTTTGCTCGCTTGTGTTTTGTCTTTCAGCACGTAGTCCCCAACTTTAAGCGGCCAAACCTTTCCTTTCTTATTATAATAGCGTTCTGCTTTTTTTTTTGGGCGACCATTCTTATGTACGCCATACCTCTTCGTTCGTCGAGTTCCTGCCTTCTGCTCTCATCGTTACTCATACCGCTTTCATATGAGTACCTTAGGCTGGGCGTATCTCCTATGCTCGTCTTCGGGGTTGCTCGACAGGCCTATAATACTTCTAGTAGTATTTCCGGCCACAATCCCTTAGCATCCTCGAGCTTTTTCTTCATGATATTTAGTATGGACTTGTTGAAGGACTCTGCTTGCCCGTTACCCGCTGGGTGATATAGGGTTGAGAGTATCCTCTTGATATGCCATTTCTCGAAGAATTCAGGGGTTTTCTTTCCCGTGAACTAGGGTCCGTTGTCACAACTGATCTCCTTGGGTAGGCCGAATTGGCAGATGATATTTCTCCATATAAAGGCGATTACCTATTGTTCCCATATTTGGGTGAATGCTATTGCTTCCACCCATTTAGAGAAATAGTCAGTTAATACCAAAAGGAATCGTACATTACCTCGCTCTGCTGGGATGGGGCCCACGATGTCCATTCCCCATTTGATGAACGACCAGAGAAAGGTGACTGGGTGGAGATGTTCTCCTGCTTGGTGAATCATTGGGGCGTACTTTTGGCATTGTTCGCATTTCCTCACGAAGTCTACGACGTCCTTTTTCATGGTAGGCCAATAATATCCCGCCCGTATGAGGCATCTGACTAGTGCTCGATTGCCGGAGTGAGCACCTCAACAACCTTCATGGACTTCTTCTAGGATGCACTGGATTTGGTTCAGGCCCAAATATTTCCCCAGAGGGCCGCTGTAAGTCCTCTTGTACATGTCACTATAAAGGAGACTGTATTTGGCCGCTTGCGTTTTTAGTTTCTTGGTCTCTTTCTTGTTGTCTGGGAGTGTGCCGTCCTACAAATAGGCGATAATAAGATTACGCCAATCCCAAGTTAATTATGGTTCATACCTCGATTTGGTCTAGTGATGAGTTGAGGAGGTGGACTACGATTTTATCCTGATCGTGATGTTTTTGGTAGTTGCGGCCAATTTGTCGAGGCCGTCCGCTTTGGCATTCTGCGCCCGTGGGATCTGGTCGAGGTGGTGTTCGTCGAACTCGGGTAGTAGCTTGCAAATCTCAGTCTGGTATTTTTGCAACCTTTGTTCCTTGATTTGGAAAGTCCTAATGACTTAGTTGACCACGAGCTGGGAATTGCAGCGGAGTTTCAACCATTTTGCCCCATAATTGAGTGCTAGCCTCAACCCTGCAATTAGGCCTCAAACTCGGTCTCATTGTTAGTCATATCTGGGAACCTTATGGACTGGCGAATTACTTCACTTGTAGGGACCTCGAGTACGAGTCCCAGTTCAAACCCTGATGCGTTGGATGTACCATCGGTGTATAGGACCCATAGGTCTTGTGTTTGGAGGGAAGCTTGGACGGCTTCCCTTTGGACTCTAGGCATTATTTTTGCACTAAAGTCAACGACAAAGTCGTCGAGAACCTATGACTTTATCGTCGTTCATGGCTGGTATGTGATATCATGCTCACTTAGCTCGATGGCCCACTTGGATAGCCTCCCCGATAGTTCGGGTTTATGCAAAATGTTCCTCAGGGGAAATGTTGTGGCGACCAAGATGGGGTGGCACTGGAAATAGGGTCTAAGCTTTCGTGAAGCTATGACCAATGCCAGAGTCAATTTTTAGAGGTGCGGGTACCTCATCTCGGCGTCGATGAGTGTTTTGCTAATGTAATAGATGGGAGATTATGTACTTTTGTTTTCGTTGATCATGACTGCACTTACCACTACTTCGGAGACAGCTAGATAGACGAGGAGCTACTCCCCAGGTTCTGGTTTTGAAAGCAGGGGTAGTGATGATAGGTATGCCTTCAGTTCTCGCATAGCCTGGATGCACCCGGGTGTCTATTCGAGGCCGTTGTCCTTTTTGAGTATGCCAAATAATTTGTGACATATATTAGACGACCGCGAGATGAATCTCGATAGGGCAGCGATTTGTCCAGCCAACCTTTGGAATTGCTTCTTGGTAGTCAAGAGCTCCGGTATCCCCTTGATAGCTTTGATTTGGTCTGGGTTGACCTCGATCCCCCGCTGCAACACCAAAAAACCTAAGAACTTTCCCGAGGCTACGCTAAATGTGCATTTCTCCGTATTTAGTTTCATTCCATACCATCTTAATATGTCAAAAGCTTCCTTCAAATGATCGATGTGATCATCTGCCTTTTAGGACTTGACCAACATGTCATCTATATATACTTTCATGGTCTGGCCGAGTTGGTCTTTGAACATCTTTGTCACCAATCTTTGATATATAGCTCCTGTGTTCTTCAGCCCAAACGAGATGACCCTATAACAATACGTTCCTCGGTGGGTGATAAACATTGTCTTCTTCCGCCATAAAACATTGGTTATAGCTTGAGTAAGCATCCAAGAAACTCAATAGTTCGTGCCCGGCTGTTGTGTCGATATAGGGTAATAGGAACGAATCATTCGGACATGCTTTGTTCAAGTTTGTGAAATCCACGCACATCTGCCATTTCTCGTTTTTCTTTTTTACCATCACTACGTTGGCAATCCACTTAGGGTACTTCGATTCCCTGATAGGGCCGTTCTCTAACAATTTTTCCACATCATCGCGAACTGTATCATTGATGGTAGGGTTGAATTTATGCCTGACATGTCTTACTGAGGGGTGGAACGGTTCGACGTTTAATTTATGTGTGGCGATTTCCCTTGGGATGCCCAGCATATCTGCATGGCTGAAGGTAAACAAATCTGCATTAGTTATTAAAAATTGACTGAATTTACTTGGTTCCCGGAGTTTGCAGCCGATATAGGCCTTTTTGCTGCGGTCATTAAGGTCCAATTGAATGGGGTCGAGGTCGTCTATGGTCGAATCTGCAATCTCAACCATTTCGGGATCTATGATGACGTCCCCAGTCTCTCCATGCGTCGACCTCGGCCCTGTTGATTGCTATGCCTATTTTTCCTTGTCTTTTTTCTGTTGGGTTGTCGTGTTGTCTAAGGCAATGCGGTAGCATTCCCGGGACCTGTGTTGTTCTCCATGTATGCTGAATATTCCCCATGGTGTTGGGAATTTAATTACTCGGTATAGGCTGAAGGGGGTGGCTCTCATGGGATGTATCCATGGTCGTCCCGCTATGGCGTTGTACGCGGTGGCCTGGTCCATGATGTGGAATGTCATTTCCAGAGTCACACCTCTGGCCAAGACGGGGAGTGTAATTTCCCCGGACGTCCGCTCAACTGCATTATTAAAATCGATTAGCGTATGCAGCGCGACACTATCTTATCCTCGAGTCTATTTTGGTGAGGACTCAGGGATCGATAATGCATGCCCCACTTCCATCGTCCACTATGATACGTTTGACATCGGTATCTAAAATACGTAAAGTAATAATAAAAGCATCATTATGAGGAAAAGTCAAATCGTCGGCACCCGACTCATCGAAGATGATACTTTCTTCGAGTCCGGCGTACCATTCGCGAGTGACAGATCGCTTGAGCTTGTGAGTGGTGGTGAAAATCACACCGTTGATAGAGATGTTGTCGTCGCCGCCGATGATCATGTTGATAGTACGAGCTGGTGATGGAGGCTTCGGCGGGCCTTGGTGTTCACGTCCTCTAGCGAAGTTGTTTCTCCCATTGTCGCTTAAAAGCTCTTTGAGGTGTCCCTGCCGTAACGTGTTTACGACTTCTTGTCTGAGGGTGATGCAATCTTCTATTTTGTGCCCACGTTCCTGGTAGAACTCACAAATGGCGTCAGATTTTCTGGTGTTCGGGTCTGATCCTATCTTCGGCGACCACTTCATCTTTGTTTCAAGTTTCTAAGAGCATAGACTATTTATGTAGGTGACATACAAAATTTGTGAGAAGATAATAAAGTGGGCATACCTCTTTCGTTCCGGTGAGTCCCTGTCCCTGGCCTGGATGGGCCTTCTTCATAGCGGGGGAAGGTACGGCCGCCGCCCTGACATATGGCTGGTGTCGTTCCCTGTTGGGTCACGAAACGGGGTGATCCCTCTTGATGTTGTCTCTTCGTTCTTTTTTGAAATCGGTTTGTATCGAGGTTAGCCGGTGAGTTGGTCTGTTGAGGTCGTCTTCGTCTGCTCGGACTTCGGCAAAATAAGCATTATGGATTTCATCCCAAGTGGTTGGAGGATATTTCATTAATCGGCTCAATAATTTTCTAGTCGTTCTTGAACCATCTCTACTCAACCCGTTCTGGAAATCCGCGACCGCCATCCCTTCGGATACGTTTGGCAGAGTCATCCTTACTCTGTTGAATCGAGCGAGGAAGTCCCTTAGTCCCTCCCCCAAGGACTGCTTGATAGCAAATATGTCGTTTACTGTTGCTTCGGCCTTCTTGGCTCCGGCATTGACAATTACTAATTTATCGACCATTTCCTCGAAAATTTCTATGGAGCAGGCTAGTAGCTATGAATACTATGTTAATGCCCCTTCCGTAAGGGTTTCGCCAAACTTCTTCAGCAAAATAGAGGACACTTGTTCCTTGGTAAGGTCGTTGCCTTTCACGACGGTGACGTAATGGGTTACATGATCTTCAGGATCAGTCGTTCTGTCGTATATCCTGAGGTAGGGCGGCATTTTGAAGGTCTTTGGTATGGCATGTGGGGCTGTGTTATTGTTGTACGACTGCTCTACGAACCTTCCGACATTTTTTGGCAACAGATTAGGAGCGCCCGGTATCTTGTCGACTCGTTCTTGGTGTTCTTTCATCTGGTCTCGGAGTGCTTTGTTTTCATTCTCCATTTGTTCCATCCTCTTTAGAATGGCAGTGAATGCGTTGTCACCTGCACTGTTAGTAATATTATGAGTTACACCTATCGTCGGAGGGCTTGGTCGGTTGCACTGCTTGACTTTTTATTGTATCATGCAAGCTCTTGCGGTTTCTGTAGTCATGCCTGGAGTGGGTTTGTTGAGGACGCTCACTAGCGTGTCGGTCAACCATGCTTCGAGGAGTTTTTTCATAGCTGGGGGCGTCCCTTCTTTTGCGGATGTGGAGGCCTCTTTTCTACTAGGTTTTGTTATGTTGCAGTGGGGGGGAGGCGACCTCTCGCGCCTAGGGGAAGCATTGGGCGTCACATCCTCGCCTACTATTTCGTAGCTCTCGTTGATAGCGTTCATGGGGTTGCTGGAGAAATCACTTGTTATTTTTTTTCTTTCTCCTTGGTTACCTGCCATGTAGGTTTTTGTACATACAAAGAAAGAAGATCTCGGGGTTTGTGAGGTTAGTGAATTGCGTTAGCTGTAGATCTAGAGGAAACTAAAAATTTAACTAAGAAATTCCCACATACGGCGCAAAATTGTTTCACCAAAAAATATAGATCTTGATTCAACTAATTAACTTTATACAAATGAGGGCTAATCTTAGTTAATAATAATATCTCAAAGATGAACTTCCCGATAGTGTGATAAATAATACGTAGATCTCTTCCAAAAGCAATAAAGGTACACAATGGACAATATTTAAGAACCCAAACAGAAATAATGTAGCATTAAATAGTTAGGAATAGCAATAAATGGAACTTATGTAAATAGAACGAATGAGTCACCCGAAAAAGGATGAAATCAACGGATGTTTTATCTGACAATGATGAACGATGAACAAGCCTTTGAATATCCGAGTTATCCTCGGATCTGATGAAAAAGTGTGGACAAGAATCTTAGTGAAAAAGTTATTTTTGTAGGCTTATAATAAGACCAGATTCTCTCTTTAAAGTCAAAGTATATTTTACAAATGAATATCATATGTCCCATATCATTGTGTCTCTTTCTATTTATAGAGAACATATTCCTAAAAACCCTAATAGTACAAATGCAGAGAATATCCACTAGAATATTCTCTTTAATGTCCTATATTGAAACTTGCCGTTATAACTCTGTCAAGGGTACTCGACCTCGGTCTCGATCTTTGGTAACTCCTCGATTTCAGTCTTTGCTGACTCTTCAACCACGACCTTTGTTGTTAATTAGATTACTTCGACATGTGGCGGCCTAGGAATGTTTTACTAATACCATTTCGACTAGAGATAGATTTTGACCCATACACCCTTCTTCCATCTAAATAACCCCAAAAGACATGTCTCTCTCATAACTGTCTACATCAAAGCCATCAAACCTTCTTTTCTCTGGAAACCTTTTTTCTCGTGTCTTAACTCTAAAAAAACTCACCATGTCTTCTCAGAAATCAGAGTCTCCTAAAGCCACAATTGACATTCCTACTGTGTCTTCGTCTCACGAAGTGCAACAGCCTAAATTTGAGCCTCAACCTTCACCTAGTGAAACCCCCATCTCCGACCATCCACCACCCATTGTCTCTTCCCCGACTCCATCATGTTCTGGTTCCCATCGTAGTCGAAAAAATCAAACACCCAAGAAGTTTTTCGCGTCAACTTCTCCCTCTACTATGCCGAAACAAATGAGACGATGGACTGGTAGAAGGAGAAGAGGGAACAAAGGTTTTGAGTCAGTGGGTTGAGGAAACAACTGTAGCCCAAGAGGCTATTGCTAGTCATGGTTAAGAATCTGGTGTATTTACCACCCCCTCTGCTCAAACTTTTGATCTAAATAGTGTATCACCGTCAGGTAACGCCTCTCTCGCCTCTACTAATTCTACATTGTTGGCTGTGAGTAAAAAGGAAGCCATAGAAAACATGTTGCGTATTGCTATTGAAGGGAGTTTAGTTGGGGAGTATGTGTTTGATGATGTGAGTGCTGAGACTCAGGGGGGGAGAAAAAGGGAATGGGGATACAAGTGGGGAATTAGTGCCTCAAGGTGACTTGGTACCAATTAGTACTATAGGGGAGCCAGCAGAGGGACCTGCTCCCTCTGCCCAAGAGGAGAACTTTGCTCCTACTTGGGATGAAAACCCATGCTCCACTAAAGAGCCCATGGACAGTACTGACCCTCTTCTTTCCCCTCATCTAGATGCAGTTCCATTAGATTTTGTGATTCCTAAGATGAAGCCTCTGTCTGAAAAAGAAGATGATGAAAGTGAGGAGGATTTTGATGATATGCCTGTAGCACAGTTTATCGCTGCTAGAATTGATAGTGCAGTCTCCAAATAGCCCATTCTCAAAAGACCCACTACTAGGCAACAGAAGAAAGAAGCACTTGAAAATACTTTGAAGAGTAATTAGGAGAAAAAGAAGAGAAGAAGATTGGTGAAAGGGGAAAAATTAGTGAATGAGGAGGATCTGCCTCCGGCCAATATTGTGTATGTTGAGGACGAAGAGGTGAATGAGGAACCTGCTTCCCTTGTTCGTAAATCCTCTAAAAAATTTGTGATTGAGAAGTCTAAGAAAGGGTCGTCTATGAAAGGTGTTGAAATTGATCAAGAGAAGAGTGTTGAGAAGAAAGAATTTGGTGAGAAAGCTAAGTCTGGTAGGAAGAATAAAGGTGTTGAGAAGAAGAAATCTCACAATAGAAAGGCAAGTGATAGTAAGGAACCTGGTTCCTCCAAGAAGACTGGAGTGGAAGTGTCTGAAGTTGTCAGAAGAGAAAAGCTGAAGCAACAAATGGTGTTGTGGGGCAGAGTGTTTGATGCTGACATTCTTGACATGTTATGCATGAGACAACTAGTTGAAATTTGCGAGTTTCAGAAGTGGACTCATCTTTTTACTGCTCATAGTCCAAAAGTCTATGAAGAGGAAGTTCACAGCTTTTACGTTGATCTGTTCACTGTGGAGGATAACAATATTTTCCTGAAGATCAATTGAGTGGATTTTGTGATGGACGAAGCCGTACTGGGGAGTATCTTGGATGTGCTTACTGAGGGGCTCTCGTCGGTTGAAGGGACCCGTTCCGCCGATTTTAGGAAGGTTATTCTAAAGCTTCGGGTTGTTCAGAGATGGGGAACGGGTGCACAAGACGGCCCTGCTTCCAGAATACCAGCTCATGTTTGAGATGGTGAACAAGGTCCTGCTCCCTCATATGGAAAGATATTCCATTGCATCAATAGCGGACTTGTTCCTCCTGGAGACATTGGATGGATACACTACTATCAACCTACCAGGAATCATGATTGAACATATGAAAAATGTGGCAGACTTCAAGGATGGGAACCATGGTTTGCCTTATGGGTTCCTTCTCACCAAAGTGTTTGAATATTTCAAAGTTCCCTTAGGGAGAGCAGCTATGGGAACTCAAAAGAAAATGTTCTCAATAACTACCTTGGGGGAGTGCGAGTGTATTGACAAGAAAGGGGAGTTGGCAGCAATTCTACGATTTCTCAGTTGATTGATGCTCAGACTGCTAACGAGGAGATAATTTGGCTGAAGGCTAGGAATGCCATTCTTGAGGGACAACTCAGTCAAGCCAAGGAGGAACCTGGTTCGAGCAGTGCTCAAGGTGTAGAGGTTATCCGCTTGACGGCTGAAAATGCAGACCTGAGGAAACAGGTTGAGAACCTAAAAGAGCAATTGATCAATGAGCAGCGGTCCGCAAATGCTCGAGTGGATGTTCTTCTCAAAGCCCTTGCCCCTTAATCCTTCCCTCCCTCTTCGAGTGCCCCTTAAACAGTCCCCTTGTCAGTGTCCAGTGTATCGGTGCATGTCTTAGTCCCAGTGTCATGCTTTGGTATTTTGTTTTTATAAATGTGGTACTTTAGTTTGTTTATTTTGTAGATGTTTTACAACAATGGTACTACTACTGCCTATGTTTTTCTTCTCTCCTTAATTAATGAGCATCTACGTCCTTTGCTATGCATGTTATACTCTAGTATTCTATTTTTAGCTATGTTATGTGCACACAAGTGGTATGAATTAACTTTGCTGGACTTTTTTTGCG